TTCATTTTGTTCTCAAATCTGCCATTGGTACAGCTCACACCCAGGAGGGTCACTGTGGTCCATCTTCCAGATCCCTAAAGTCACCTACTCCTAGCAACAGCCCTAAGCCTGTCTTCAGCCACTGATGCCTAGACAATGCTCTCAGGTATCCAAAGTATCAACTCAGTAAGGGGGATGAGGAGGTGACACTACCTTCCTCTCCACTTGGGACCCTACCTTTGTTCACAGCTGCATCTCAGGCATCCAGTACAGTGAGTGGCAGAGAAGAGGACTCAAATATTTGTCAGATGGATAGACAGATGGGTAAAAGAACAAAGCATAAATCACCATTGCTTCAAGAGCAACTTAGATTTTGATGATAAGGCTTTCAAATTTTTATTCTCCTATTCCAGGCCCCTTTTTCCCAGGACTCTGATAAGAGTCTTTGGGAACCACAGAAAGGACAAGCACCATACTACACTCAAAATCTCCTCTATTCAGGGCACAGCTCCCTTTGTTTTGTTTTTTTTTTTTTTGGATCAAGCTAGTCACCTTGAGTCTCTCCTCCCTCAGAAGTTCCACCAAAAGGTTCCTCTTTCCCTATATTTATATAAGCCTAGACATACACATTCACCTAAAACTCCACAAAGGTTCATAGCAGAAATGACCCTTTATACATTACAGGAGTCCTTCTTTGAATAATGTGTTTAAAAGCTAATATAAAACCTGGCAGAGCAAGAGACAAGATCTAGAATCAACAGGGCATTTAGTTTGGTAATTAGAATCAAAACCAAAAACAAGATCTATTTAACCTATTTGATGACTTCCTTATAAATACACTTATCTTTTAAATAAATTTGACTACACTGTAAATATCCCAAAGGCTAGAGCCATACCATATAAGTGGCACCTTGGCATTTTCAAATTTCATGGTCATAATTTCAACTATTTGGGAATCTCCCCTAAGGACCACATCATGAAGTAAGCTATAAGTGTGTAAGAAGTAAATGTGAAAGTCTCTGCTACAAGGCTGAGTGGTCTATCTTACACTAACCAACCCATCTCAAACAGCTATGTGGTTCCGTTTTGTTAGTTGGTTTATTTAGAAAACATAGTAACTTCATCAGGAAGACTCTGCTGAAGTACTGTAACTTGACTTCACCTCGCCTCAGTTTTCTCTTATCCTCATTATGCAAATAATACACATGCTGTTAGTGAGAATATTATTCATCACAGACCCTTCAGTTTTTAAAATTCTGCTAAGTTTTAGCCTTGACCATAATAAAATATAATACAGTGTTTAGTTTTCTTCCATGGCAGATTTTAATAGCTTTCTAAATGACCACTGAGAGTCTGTGTCTTATGACTTCCCCCATGAATATCAAGAGAGTATCTGTATCTTTCATCTCCCTCAGTACTGTATATATATATCTCTGGTACACAGTAGGCAATCAGTATCTGTTGACTGACTCTAAGGAAGAAGAACTTAACATTAATTCCTAATATGCAGCCTTAAAAAAACCGGTTATGAAAAATGTCCTTTTCAGAGATTCACACTGAAATATTTTGGTATAAAATGACATGTCAGGATTTGCTCCAGTACAGACGAAAATCAAACATGGCAACACCTTAGGGACTGTTAAATATGAGTGAAGGATATACAGGAGTTTGTTGTATTGTTCTCTCAACTAGAATATGTTTGAAAATTTCTTAATTAACCAAACTGTTTAACTGGTTATATACCAAAATTACACAGCCAAGAATCTAATAAGGTCAATCGGTAAAGAACAGTATGCCAAGAAAATACAAAAGAAGAAGGGATAAAACTAAACATACAAAAGTCTTGTCTTCTAGAAAAAAATAGTGATTAAAAATGCAAAATCTATATTTACATTATGGTGTAACTAAGATTTCCATCTCAAAACTTTAATGGTGCTCATATAAATTAACCTAGAATAATAAAGAAAACCTACAATTATAAATTCATACAATCACACAACTTGAAAACTGAAAGGAAATTTTAAAGAATCATAAAGTTGAAGTGTCTTGCTCAAAATCCCAAAACTGTCCAGTACAAAGAAACATCCTTCACTGGAAACCAGGTCTTCTCTTAATTCCTAATCTGTATTTCTAAATACAAGTGAAATACATTGCTTTCAAAAGATCTTTTCTTGTTTTTTAGGTTTGGATTACTTCATTTACCACAACATACACCTTTGTGGGTTACACATCATGCCTATAACATATTATTTGATTAATACATTTATAATTACATTGGAATTGTTATTTGTACCTGAAATTTTCTTGCTTTCATAGACTTCACATTTTAACTGTAACGGTACTTAATGTCAACTTTTTTATATTCAGGTTTATATGAAAAGCTGTTTTACAGAAAATGAATTCCTTTTTGTGTCAAATCAAGCTCAACTTTGTTACTGCAAACAATTTTGTCTCAACTGTTGATTTTGCAATTTGTCACCCCTGAAAAGAACTTATCTTAGTGTGGAGGGAAAACAGGGTATGAAAACTGGTGGGACACACCGAGCAGCGGGTAGCAGTTCTAAGTGCACGCTGCACTAGTCTGCCACAGGAACCAGCTCAGCTAGGAGCTCACACTTTTTAACGTGGGAAACTAATTTAGTACACGAAGACCATCTTGGCATTACAGTAAACATATTATTAAAAGAAAGATTTTCCCACACTTCAGACTACCAAAATAATAGGGCCAATTTATTAACTAGCAAAACTGCTCTTTGTAATAATGTCTTCCCACACATGCTACCTTCAGTTAAACTACGCATCTTGTACCCCAACTCCATTAGACAAGATTCCTCTCCTAGTCTCCTACTATGCTCCATGTTTCCAGGTTCAGCTACTCCATTCCAAAATGAAAGGTGCTAAGCTGAATTTTTTTTTCCAGGTACTTTGAGTTTTGTATATCCTCCCAAAATTCCTGTTTTCTGAAGTTTTGCACTACATCACTTTGAAATCTAGAAGGTATCTAAGTCACCTCTTCTATTGTTTATTCACTTAACAAACAGTTACTGAGCACCATCCCCTTATGTGCACTCCTTTGGGCTGGATGGACAAGAAAAGCTACAGTCCTCCCTCATAAAACTCATAGTGTCGTGGATCTCCGAAAGGTAAGTCAACAATTATAACTCAGCACAATGTAATAAATACTATGCTGGAAGTAAGTACAAGATGTTAGGTAGACCTATATTTCATTCTATATGGAGAGGAAATAGCATCATACTGCAAGAAAATCAAGCAAGAAAGTTGAAGCAGGGCCGGCTCCGTGGCTTAGCGGTTAAGTGCGCGCGCTCTGATGCTGGCGGCCCGGGTTCGGATCCCGGGAGCGCCCCGAGGCACCACTTCTCCGTCCAACGTGAGGCCGGGTCCCACGTACAGCAACTAGAAGGATGTGAACCTATGACATACAACTATCTACTGGGGCTTTGGGGGGAAAAAACTGAATAAAAAAAATCTTAAAAAAAAAAAAAAAAAAAAAAAGAAAGTTGAAGCATTCATTCAGGAAGCTAACTCAAACAAGCTATCCAGAACAAGGCCCTGATTAGATACAGTTTGTAGAGACTGCCTAGGCCAAAATTTTACACCTGAAAACCAAGGCAACCCATTAAGAGACTACAACTTGAGAAAGCCAAACTAAGAATGAAGACTTCTATAGAAGGGTACCATTTAATAAAGAGTAACTATAACCCAGAATCTTCTACACACATGACTTTGAAAACTTTCTAATATAAAAGTAAGTGGAGGGTCTGAGGTGGGGATAAAGGTGAGAAACAACAACACGAAATTCACAGAAAGACTTGAGAGGATCAAACTGTCCATTTCTTTAGTCCTAGTTAGATATCAAGAAAAAGTGACAAGGATTTAAAAAGAAATCTTTATCAAAAAGAATTTCTCTTATACTCAACATCCTTGGACAATATAAGACTGGCTATTTAAACCCACTGGGTTAAAAACAGAGAACATAATGTGGTTCTGGCTTAAACTTTGATGTACACAAGAATCACCTGGGGAGCCTGCTAAAAATGCAGATTCCCAAGCCAAACCCTCAAAGTGAGGATTCCAAAGATAAGTAAGAACACTGCAAAAATACTTTGAGACTCACCACTGTTACATGGCACAGTCCAAAATGTCAGGTTGAACAATATGAAAATCACTATTTTTTTTTGTGAGGAAGATCAGCCCTGAGCTAACATCCATGCCAATCCTCCTCTCTTTGCTGAGGAAGACTGGCTCTGAGCTAACATCTATTGCCAATCCTCCTTCTTTTTTTTCCCCAAAGCCCCAGTAGATAGTTGTATGTCACAGTTGCACATCCTTCTAGTTGCTGTATGTGGGACACGGCCTCAGCATGGCCGGAGAAGTGGTGCATCGGTGAGTGCCCGGGATCTGAACCCGGGCCGCCAGTAGCGGAGTGCACGCACTTAACCGCCAAGCCACAGGGCCAGCCCCTGAAAATCACTATTTTCGTAGGTCAAAACAGTCAAATACAAAAGCACCAAAGCAGCTGAATGGAGAAAGCAAAGTCTCTTCAACAAATGGTGCTAAAACACCTGATAAAACGGCTATCACCCCCAGTTATGTCACACTCCTTCCTACATCTGCCCTATATCCATCAATTACCCAGGCACGTCAATTTTAACTTCCTCAATGACAACTCTATACCCGCCTAAATGTTCCCTTTACCACTGCCTCATTTAAGAGCTTTATCGTCTCGTCTAAACTACTTCAACAGCCTCAAACCAGTCTCTCTGTCTTCAGACTGTTCTCTACTAACCAATCCCCCTTACTGGTAATTAAGTGATCTTACTGGTCACATCACTATCTAGCTTAAAATCTTTCAGAGGTTACCTGTTATTCTGAACCTTTTGAGGTCAATTAGAAAGAATTCATAATATTTCAATAAAATATTTAGAGAGGTAAAATTACAGACATTTTTATACAAGTAGCCCAGTTTTCATAATAAAATTTAACTAGGTTAAATCACTTACATCATAAAATAGTTTTCTATCAGCAGCCAAACGTTTAGACGCCAGAGTCTTGGTAACATGATAGAAGGTAAGTAATGCTCTGTGCTGTCGAAGATCATCCTGGACTTTCACAGATTCTATAAGAGTGGGAATCAGTTCAGGCCACTGTCTGGGACAATCCAATCGAGCAACTTTTGCAATCAGCACTGCAATCTGAGTTGCAATCTAGAGGGAAAATATTAATCATCAGAAATAAACATAAGAAATTAAAGCAATGGGTAAGGAATGCATTCATAGCTGAAAATTACCTTTTTGGTTAATTATACCTTTGACAGAAGTGAATAAGATTTCACCGAATGACTGCTTAAGAGTGGTTCTAAAAGTGTGGTCTATGGATCCCCAGGGGGCCTAAGATCCTCTCTGCGAGGTTCTCCCTTCCCCAATAACATATCACTATGAAGGTAGATTTTCTTCATATAACTTCTACCAAATAATATATCACAACAGAGTAAATAAAGAAGCAAATATGAAAATCTAGATGTCTCCTTTTAAATAGCCATACACTAAAGAGATATGCAAAAACGCAGAATGACGCCCCTCTTCTCATTAAATATTTCTTGTTTGGGGAAATAGCTATTGCTCATTTTTTAAAATTCTATTCATGTTAACAAGTAATGGTTTTATTAGTTTTAGTTAATTAATAACAATTTTAAAATTTCTCAGTTTTAATTTCTAATACAGTAAATATTAACAGATATAACCCTTTGGAGTTTTATTTTAGCAGTATAAGGAAGTTCTAAGACCACAAAGTTGGAGAATCACTGACCTAAGAGTAGAAATGAACATCAACTATTAGTATTTAACTAAGGATATTTATACAGATCAGTGTTTTCCAAATGCTGGGTGACAGAACACCTAAGCAATGGTTTACCCCTCAATCACCCAAACCCCTTCCCAACCACTTCCTTCCCTACTGAGAATAACTCCACTGCTCTCCATCCTCCCTCATCTCCTTAGTCAAGGAACTGCAATGGAGAGGACTGAGATCATTTACAGAGGTTGAGATAAAACTACACTAGTTATATCACCAAATACAGTGTGCTTTAACATTCAAATTAAAAGAATAAACTATAGGGCCGGCCCCGTGGCTTGGCGGTTAAGTGCGTGCACTGTGCTGCCGGCGGCCCGGGTTCGGATCCCGGGTG